CACACGATCGTTAAAGACAACTTTAAATTCTTGTCAGGAACAGGTTCGATACGTAATTTTTCCTCCTTTTTAAATTTCAATTATTTACAGGGATATTTAGGGCTCGTGTTTCATTTATAACGCGCATCGGCCGCGCGAAGCTTTGATTATTTATGAATTTCGCAAGCCACCGTGCACGAAAGGCACGATTAAACGTGTCAATTTTATTAGCTGAACTTGTTAACGGGCCGGGATAAATTATCGATCCTCTGAACCGGCCAGATGTTCTCTTTGAACGCTGCCACCTGCTCCCGTTGCATCGACGTTTTTACGATCGCGTTAACGTCCGTTCGTGCCGGGCACGTAATCGCGCATAGTTAAGAGTTTTGTTCGCGGTTTATGAGATCGGACAAAACGTTGAACCACCAAACGTTTCTCACCCGTAAACTCGCCTCATTCGGATGAAAATCAGTTCACATGCTTCGCGCGATGGACACGATGGATCCTCGTCGAATGATTCTTATCTGACATGATTTTATCTCGACGTCGAAGCTGAAAATTCCAAGACATTTAATTTATTCAATTGTAATAATACGGTTCCTCTTGTTGTCTCTTGTCTCAACGAATGATGTTGAAGAACATTTAATCAGAATTAAAAACACTTTGCTGAGAAACCGACTACCAACAGCAACTCAATGCCACATTATTCCACGAAACCACAAATTCGACAAATCGGTACGTCGTCAACTCGTACAAATTCCTGTTTGCGCGAAGTTTTGCAAGAGGATCGTTGAAACGATGGAGAACGCGCATGTACAGATAGAGGATACGCGTGCAGGTTGTTCTTTTTTTGTCCTTGTACAGCCGCTCGTTAAAACAGTTTGAACGTAAAGTAACAGTCTTATTGGCCGCAGCGGAGCCGACAATAAGCGCGAGTAGGCAGCACGCAGTTTCAAGAAATTGCTGGCTGTTGGATCCCCGTGCGAACTGCGCTATCGCTTCCGGATCGGTTACGATAGCGGAGGAAGCAAGGCAACTGGGGATCGCTGGTTCATTAATTACAAATCGCATTATGAAACTCGGTAGCGCGGAATCTCTAGTTGTTCGCGCGCCGGGAAACGAGAGATAATGAATGTTCCGACGGGCGGGAATGCTTTTTACAAAACGGGAAAGGGAACGGGAACGATCGGTTAATGCGAGTTGTCTTCGAGCGGCTCGATCATTACCGCTGTTCCCCGTCTTTTATCAGCAGGTGGAAACGCGTCTTGGAAAATTTCCCGAATGAAAAAAATCGTCGCCTCGTCGAGGTGATGGAATTTCCCTTAATTTTCATCCTGCAAAGGAACGAATTTTTGCTAAGAGTGTGAATTTTTCAAAAAGGGCGTTCTGAAATCCAGCTTCGATCCCCAGTAGAAATATCGTCGATTTCATCGAATCCTGTTGATCAAATCATGATCAGTAGTGATTTTTTTCATTAAAAAGCTTTCAAGAGAAATCAAATTCCAAGCTGATATTTTTTTCTGAGTGATTCCGAACTCTCGATCAGTGATGTAGAATTAATGTTTCACACAACTGAAAAGTTTGATAATGAAAGAAGAGAACGAAACGTACAATAATAATAATAGAATAATAAAATATGTAAAAAAAGAAATAAATAATAATAATAAAAAATATTATATATAGTAATAAAAAAAAAATAACAATTTTGCAGTTAACCTGTTATTCACAGAACGTCTAGCTGGTGCAAAATTTCACTGTCTCGAACCATTTCTCATTCGTCACGAGAGTTCTGCGATAAATCATTTATCATTTTGTAGCTCACAGGGAACTCTGTCGGAAGATAATTGTAATAATTCAAAATAAATTCCGAGAACCACTCCGGAATAAGAACCACTTTCCAGTGACTGTAATTTATATATATTTAACGTACGAACACGGTAAAAATATAGGTACGCTCCAACGCCTCATCGGCACACGTCGGCCCGTGGTTCTTTTCTCATCGGCTATTTTTATTGCCTCGTATATCCAGCGAAAACACCGCACGAAATACATTTTCTCTGTCATCGAGAAAAACCTGGGCACTCTGGAGTTACGGCTTCGGTAGGAAACGCGTTTACCTCGACACAGTCTCCGACGCGAAACGATAATCACGAAGCAAAGATCACCAGAAGGTGGTCTTCGAATCCCCGTGGCGAATACGATCGACCGTAATAACATGACCATGTTATCGATATTATCGTAAATTTCTCAGGAAGACATTTATTTATTTAATAATTGTATAATTTAAATTGACTCGAGGCAACACTCAGATCTACTGAATAAAATAATCCCACTCCAAGCAACACTCAGATCTACTGAATAAAACAATCCCACCGAACTTATTGGTGTGTAGATCGGTGAGTATATTCAAATATTAAAATATTAAAATCAAGAGAGTGGCTCGACACCACAGGATAAAATTACATCGTTAATAATAAAATGAAAGTTGTCAGTAACGTGTCGGAATTCGAAACGAAATATTCCCGAAATGCACCGTAGCAGAGAGTTGTTCCACTCACTAAATATTGCAACGAGTGTCATATTTTGGATATTTAATACATATTCTTATAATACATGCATCTCTATGTGTCCAATTTTGAAGTTCATATAAAAATGCATAAAAATAACCGGTTAGGAATTAATTACTTTTAAAACGAATCGCTGAAAAAAAAAAAAAAAAAAAA